CGCTGGAAGGGGCCTATAGCCACCCAATTTCACCGTAGCCCTCCCCAACCCCCATCCCAGCACTACCACCACTCACCTGGCACAGCCCAAGCTCTTCCTGGCATGTGGGTGGAGGCAGGGGTCGAGCCAGGGCTGTACTGGGTGGATGGTGGCAGTGCCAAGAGGGGCAGCTACAGTGAAATCTGGGGTGGCTGCAGCCTCCCCTGTAGCCCCTTCTCAGTGCCACCACTGCCCGCCCCGAACACAGCCCCCACCGAGAAGAGTCCGGCAGAGGCCCAGCTCCAGCCAGCAGCTGCAGCCCATCCACCCCACCTGTGCCCTCCCAGGGTGCACGCAGTGGTGGGAGCTGCCCCCCAGATGACCTGCAGCTCTGTCCTGTGTCCTGCCCCACTCGGCTGGGCAGCATCTACCCCTGTCCCATTCCTTCCCTCACCGCAGGGGGCATTGATCTACCCACCCAATGCCCCTTCCCTCATACCACAACAGACTCACCAGCTGGATGCTGCTGTATCAGAAATCAGATCTGAATCAGCCAATATGCCTTCTTAAAAATCGGCTATCAGTATCAGCCCCCAAAATCTCTATCGCTGCATCCCTAATTGAAGGGCTTAGGTCAAAAGAAAGTGCAAGCATACTGGAATTTAAAAAAAAAAATGTCTCATGTCTTTCATTAATAAGCCAACTTTGTTCTTCTCAGAGCTCTGTCATTATACTTATAAGCTGTTCAAACCAGTCATCTCTTAGAGAAATCAGATCAAATTTGATACAAAGATACCCTTTGATAAACTCTGGTGTATAACTTTGTCCACTAAGCGTTTTCAAACTGAAGTGGAAGACATCCAGAATTGCAGACCTACTTGTTCTGTTCATTAGTTCAGTACACAAAAGTGATGAGAAGCCAGATCCCTTAATTGCTCTCATTTACTTAATATTTCCTTCAATATACTTCCATTTTAAAATGTGATTTATTATGACAAATTTATTTAACAGGTGGCATAAAATTAATATTCTTATGAGCCCCGAAAAACAAGTTTGATATTCCCCCTCCACCATTTTGGCAATTAATATTTGAGTTATAATTAAGAAACTTTCAGAGAATCCAATATAAGTGTATTACTCAGGGCTTGATAACCATTTTAAATATCACATTAAGTTGCTTGCTGAAACTTATTCTTTCTTATTAAGTGACAATGATTGGTTAAGCAGTTCATTAAGGCTGAACTACTGAAACAATCTTTTTAGTTGTTTTTTTTCTTAAGAATTTTTTTTTAAAGTAGCTATTGTGAACTTCGATTACTACAGTATTTGACCTTAGTTCTTCCAAGTCAGAATACCATTATATGAATTACTATAGCAATAAGTAAATGAAATAATTTCTTGACAGAATAAAAAGCTGCATATACAGCAGCTAGCTTTTCACCTCTAGATCACTGTTTCAATACAAATCAAATAAAAACTGAAGAGATCATTGGTAGTCGATTGCTGGTAATCATTCAAGTTCCTTGCAGCACGAAATCACACAATAGCTGTTACCATATGTAAATAAGCACGTCTGAAACTTTTTGCATCACTTAGTAGAATGTGCCCCATCTGTTCTAGTTTAAAATCATTAACCATAGCTCCCTTCTTCCAGACTTCTCTCCACTTGTTTAGACTATTTTACAAACTCAATGCCATCATTCAAGACGCTGTCCTGGTTTACCATTGGACCAGATCCTCCTAACACTTCATCTACAGGAATTCTACAGGATGAGTGCTTCCAACCTTGGGCTCTTTAATTGTTAAGTGCCTCAGGGAATGCTTGATTCTTCTACTAATTTCAAAAGTGCCAGACTTGGAAATTACACTACTACATTACGTGAATAAACTTACCTTGTTTTATTCAGATATAGGGAACTCAAAATACTCAAAAGGTACAGACACACAATCCCACGTGCTTCTTAAATGGCAAGTACATTGTAAAAAACCAAAACCAAGAGAACATTATCTTGCGACTAAAAACGAGTCAATCAGCAGTTTTAAAGAAATCTTTAAAAAAAAATTACCTGTTTTTCAGTAGAGACGTGAGACTCTCAGAGTTCAACTGATGCATTAAGCCATCCCTCAGTGTTGGAAGCATTGATAGCACTATCATTAAAGAAAAAAAAAAAAAAAGGAAAAAGGTATGCTTCAAGAAAATACAAGCCCCAAAAGCATAAGTACTTGGGGGGGCGGGGAGGGGGGGGGGTGACTGGAAAGGAGGTTAAGTTACACAGAAAGGTTTGAAGGTGCACTGTAGCATGACTGTAAATAACTTGGAGGTTTTCAACAAATCATTCTTCCTTTTAACTGCTTTACAAGTGAACAGTGCACTACCATAAGCCAACCTTACACAACATGTGTGTCTTACGGCATAAGTCAAATGCTCAGGAAGCCAGTTACACTAACTGTTAGTGTCACTATATTTTTATATAAAACTATGTTATATCAAGTTGACATATAGAAATCTATTAAAATTATGTGTGCATATGTGCAGCACATGTGAGACTGGCAAAAATCTATAGAACTGCATTTCTCTGAAGAAGAAAACAGTAAGTTTATTTCAAAAGAGAGGAAGGAGACAGCATCTTTGAGGGAGATAAGTTTTAAAACTGAAAAGCAAAGGAGAAAACTGGAGGCAAATCTCTATGTACCTTGGAGTATCTCAGATACAAGCCCCTATTCTGATAGGTAGTAGGGAAAAGAAAAACATGCAATGCATAGTACATTGCAATAGATGCCAATCACAACGAAAAAAAACCTGTCGGGGAGAACATACTGATCTGTAAGAGGGGGACAGGAATGGCAAACCCAAATCCCCTCAGTATAAAAACTCCAGCATTATGAAATGGAAAAGTCTTTCTGTTTTAAAAAAGAAGTGTAGACTTATTTTCAAGTAGCCTTGGAATCAGTCACCAATCCAGAAAGAAGGAAAGAAGTGGTGCCCAACCCGTGCTATATAAATAATCTTAAACCACCTGAATGTTTGTAATGAATAAATAATGTAGAATTTTAAAATATGTTACTATTTCCTCTTTCCAACCTGTATTACAAAGAACAATCATTTTCAGTGTCACTACCAACCCAATGTTTCTAATGTTTTAATTTGTCTGCCTTCAAAGACAAGGAATTGGTGGATTACAAAGTTTATTTTATGTAAAAAAAAAAAAAAAAAAGGTTGCCTGTCCACTTATTTCTGTGCAGCTCAAGAATACTATGTTTAAATTATTAATATTGATAGTTTGCTATAAATCCAACCATTCCAAGTTTGAGGACCACTTTATTTTTGAACACTAGAAATTTTAAAAACAATGAATCTTAAATATATAAGCTGTAATCCTTATGTTGTATGTTGTGCATAAGCAGCCTGCCTCAGAGTAGGACAACAGACTAGATCTTGAGTTTCCAGCCCTACATTTCTGTGTTTCTACATTTACTCTTGAGTCAATAGTACTATTTTCAACTACATGTTGATAAAACATTTGACTATTCAGTATCAAAGCTTTTTACGTTCCAACTGCTGTCTTGCCAGCATGAATATTTTGTATATAGCCCCAAATAATTCTACCCATCCAGAAAAGAGTCTTACCTGTCATATTGCAAGTCCTCTGATTACTTTCAAAATGATACTGCCTTCGTGCTTGGGCAATATATTCAGCTGCCTCTCTTTCTTGGATTTCTCTAATTTTCTTCTGCCCATACTTTCCCAGTAGGTATACTCCTATAAAAAAACATTTAAATTACAAGATGGTTTACAAAATGCTCCCTCTGTTTTATTATAAATGTGTCTCTTGACCAGCTGAAACCTCCTTCTCCAGTAATTTGGGTCTCAAGCACTTGAAGTGAGTTTTCCTACAGTATTGTTAAAAATTGTAAATTCATGTTGAAAATAAAACGCCAGAAGTAATGCTTGTGATCTGTATAAGATCCTTTCCAAGCGGATTTTCCTCATTTTAACAGCACCTTTTTGTTCTACTGTAGTACAAATGAGACAAAAGCAAAAAACAAAAAATGAGGAAAGAACAGATCCTGTATAAAACCTGGAGAGAGAGAGAGAGAGAAAAATACATACAGAGTGGGCACTTTAATTTTTTACAAGAATTTTTGTTTAGATCTTTTTATTAACTGGAAGCAGGAAAAATTCTGAGCCTCTGAAAGCATGTAGGATTAAAGTCACCATCTTGCCAATCCTTTAGCCTGAATCTACATATTATACTTAAGGCACAATTAACTAGTTAAATCGTATCTTATGTGGTCACTTGGCCACACGTTCAATTAATGGTGCGATGAAAAGAAGAATAAGTTTCAAAGATATTCCACAAAATATATGGCTACTTCCCATCACATCATTAATTGAATGATTGGCCAGGGGCTTTGTGGCTGATTGGAGCTCCTAGCTAGGGGGTGGCCCATGTGTATCCTGAAGCCTGGGAGCTCCCAGCTGACAGGGCCTCACACAGCTGGGAAACTGCAGCAGCTGGTCTCCCAGATGCTGGGGTATGTGGGGCCTTCCATGCCTAGGAATCATCAGCTGGGAATGCCCCTGCAGCAGCTGCAGTTTCCCAGCTGCAGGCATGTGGATTCCTAGGCATGGGGCGTGTGCACATGTGGCATGGCAGGAGGCCTGATTGTGTGGATCATGCATTAGATCCCTTTGCGCCTTTACCTGCATTGTGTCTATCCTAGCCCCTATTTCCTCTATATACTTCATTCCCCTACCAATAGTCTATGCTTCCTTACCACAACATCCTTCTCATAAAGATCTCTTATTTCCATTACAGCCATGCTACAGACACTGTTCACTATGCAAAAAATTAGACTACTGTCTCTGATATGCACAGGCAACAGCAAGATATTCCTTTCCCTTCAGTAGCAGGCAACCTGGAAAGCCTGATCTTCCACTGAATCACTTTTCCAGCATTCTGATTTAGGCGCACACATTTTTGTGCATTGATGCCTAAAATATTCAGTGACATTTTGGAGTTAACCAAGTGCATGTTAGTCCCTGCTTTGCTTGATCAGTTAGAATACACAGAACAAGTCTGAAATTCAAATTAAAATTCTTGTTTAGATTCTGGGGCACTTAAAAAGTTGTAAATACAAATCTACAAACTTTTCTTCACTCAAATATTTGAAAGAGTGAATTAGTTATTTCTTGTGATAAACAAAGATTTCTTAGGGTGATAATCTTTTATTGGTCCACTGCATAGTTGGGATGGAGTTAGACAAGTTGTCTTCTTCAGGTCATTATTTGACAGTTAATCTGGCTGGATTTGCAACAGAGCTAAGATTAATGATGGTTCAATATTTTATATTACAAAATATATAATAACATTTATTTATTAAATGCTTGCATTCTTAAAACCTTTTAATATCCTTTCCCCAAATGACCCCAAGTCAGAAACCATCTGTGGAATATAAAAAGCATGTTCTAAAATCTATGGCCACTCTAAACTATTTATCTATTCATTCATTTGAGTTATGTCCTTCCCAAAGGCTCAGGGCAGCTTAAAGTAAGAGGACAAAATAAAATACACTAAGAGGACAGAATAACTTAAAGAACAGGAGTGCAATGAGAGAACAAAACTACTTAAAAGGGCACTGGAATATTAAAAAGGAACCTGAAACTATGGCAATTCGTTCTGGCATAATGGCTCAGCATGGGGACAGGTACAAACTTGCACCGTTTAAAAACAGCTCTAAACCTATTCTGCAAGATGTGGTCCTAAATAGCCCAATGGGCTGAGAATAAAAAATCCCCAAATATATCCACCCCTTAGGCGCCCTATTCCTGGCAGACAAGGCTTTTTTGGGTAAATGTGACATCTTTTATTAGACCAACTAAAAAGTTGGAAAAATTGTTCTTTACAAGCTTTCAGGCACAAATACCCTTCTTCAGGCATAGGGAGAGTCTGCTGGTGATTTGTTTGTTCTCCTGGGTGGAATGGAAGCCAATATGCAAAATGTAGGTCTGTAAAGATGCAAATACGTGGCAATGAGGATCAGAGGCCATGGGAGACAACAGGTGTGAGACAGGTAGGTTGGGGGGGGGGGGGGGGGAAATTTAACTGGGGGGTGGGGGAAATGTTGAACTAGTGACAAAATGTAGCGGGTAAAATGCAGACGGGTTACCTGGGGTTATCAGATGGCAGGCAGGTTAAGAAGGAGTGTGCGGGAGGGAAAGGGCGGGATGCAGATCGAGGCCCACCCCCCATGGTGAAGGAGGGAGTGGGGCAGGTGCTGCCCAGCCAGGGTGATGAAAGTGACCCTGAGAGTGGGACAGAGCCACGGGCAGCTCATCTGGAGGGTGGGGAGTGGGGTGGCTCCCTGTTGCTGCACGCATCCCCCAGGGAGGTATGGGGGGCATGTGCCCGCTGTATCTGTGTGCGGGGCAAGGAAGGGCTGCCAACTGTGGCCTCGGGGCCTGGGGCTGCACCGGCCTCTTCCCAGTGGTGGGGGTGGGCTCTGAATAGGTAGGGGCAGGGTGGGCAGTGGTGATGCTGGGAGGGGTAGCTATAGCCACTCCAAAATTGGCCGTAGCCCTCCCCTTCCAGTGCTGCCAACATCCACCACAAGCACAGCCTCAGCTCAGCCCCCACAACAGGAAGAGGCCAGCGGAGCCCCTGGCCCTGAGCCCACAGTGGGCAGCTGGCTCCCCCTTCCCCTCATTTACATTTTTATAATAGATTTTCTACCAAAATACACTGAAAGTTTCATCCAGGAAACAGGCTTTAGTGAATCACCTTCTCATTCAAAACTGGTCTTCTGCTTCCAAACCAACTGATAGCTGCAGAGTGATTTTGATCTAGCAGTCCTATTTAGGCCTTTTCATGAATGAAACACTTTTCCATTTGAGCTGTTCTATCACTTACTCAAACTCTCATTTTAAATTTTTTGCTGCATATAGTGTACTTTAAGTGCGTTTCTCTTACCTCTGTGTAAGCAATATTGATTAACTACAGGAACAGCTGATAGTAAGTTTTTTCACACTTAAGTAAAGGTTTTTCTACCCTTAATAGCAACCTTCAAATTGACAGGGTCTAGTCAGATGAGAGTTGCATTATAAGCCTTGAAAATTCGCTGCCACTCTGTCAGTTTCTCCAATTATGCTGTTAAACACTGATAAAAAATTCTTATACATTTAAACTGTATGTGCATTTCATCAACGCACAGATAACCAATGGGTGTTATAATTAAAGCAACTGGCAAAAATGTGAAACCAGCTTTGTGTTAAGCAAATTATGCATTTAACCAATGTGCACATCAATGCAACACTGTATGCAATTTCCCAAGTTACAGAAAGTGCAATTCAATGCATCAGAAATGAAGCTAATGCTTCAGGACAGAGTCCATTTGTGAATGAAATACAGTGATACCTGGCAATTTACTTAATGATGCATTCGACTTATGGTTCCTCCATCTGCAATCTGACTGTTACATTGCTTTACCTCTGCAGCAGCTGATGATCTTCAAATTTAGTTGCAATAATACATCTTATATTACTGATTCACCTGCCTCTCCCAATGTACAGGACATACTATAATAGCTGATGAAATCTACATAAAAACTTAGTCAACAGCCACACATCACAGGCATAAGATAATTTTGTTAGTTGGAAAGGTCTTTCATCCATAATCATATACCACTTCCTGTAAATCAGCAGAAACATCCTTCATGTTTTTAAAAGTTATGATTTCTAGTATCTTAATTTTAGTAATGGGCATTTGAATTTATTCACTATATTTTTCCTTTAGTCTCTTTAAAATATCAGAATCTGATCCTACCTTCAAACAAAGCAGCTAAATAAAACTGCAGTTAAAGCAGCTAAGTAAAGCTGCATCCACATAAGGGCATTTTTGCAGCTTGTTCATAAACACAGCCTTTTAGCACAAGAACTTGTCTGACATGATAACATCTCCTATTTGGTATTTTCACAAGGATCCTTACATATTTTCTTCTTTCTTTTGACAGTACAGAGAACTATGCAGGTCATCAACATTATTTGTGAGCCTTTAAAGAAAATGAATTGCTTTATAGTACTGGTGTAAAACCTCTGGCCCATGGAGCCATGTCATCTGACCCACAGGGCTAACTACAGGTCTGGAAATTTGGGGGCAGGCAAGGGGTGGCAATTAACACTGCTACCATTCCCTTGGAACCAAATTTCCAAGGCCTGTGGGATAGATGCCATGGTCCTATACATGGGGCTAGGACTGCAGGCATGACCTGGCACAGGGCCTGATTTGGCACAGTAGGCTGAGCCATGCACTGTGATGGCCCCATGAGCCAGATTCAGTTCACGGACCAACCCTGCACCAGTTCTTGGGGCTGGCTGAAAGGCTGGGCACCACTGCTTCATGGAAACAAAAAAAGTTTAGTGCCTCTCAAGTTTGCATTGAGCATTTTTCCAGTTACAAAAATCTAAAAATGAGTGAAAACGTCATCTGTATATTTTGACAAAAATACGTTGAAACCTAAGTAGAAACCAAGTACCATGTTTTCTGATGTACAACACTCCCTGGACTAAGATGAGCATCTTGTTTTTTCCTTGGAGTAAATAACTGAATAGCAGCAACTAGAGAGAAGAGCCTGCTCACCGTTCTGCTCCCCAGAGACCCCCTGCAGACTTACCTTCACACTTGCAGAATAAAAGTTTAAGCACCAGAAGCTACTGTTACCACATTTCCTTGCTTATAATACCCACCCCCATTTCCAGCAGCTGTTTTTGGGGGGAACAAAAAGGTGCACGTGTATGTAAGAAAATACAGTATGCTGTTACCAGCTTTGGAAAAAGAGCCATTGAAAAGCAACAGATCAGAATTGCCTTGTTTTTCAATGTTAAGCTGTCAGCTGTGCATAAATCATAGTTGATTTCCCAGAAACAGTAGCATCAGGCAACTGGCATTTGGAACCTGTTGCAGGTAAGGGCAGAAACAGGCAAATATGACAATGAGCTGGAGTGCAATTTCCTTCTTTATAATCAACCATATTTTAAGTGTTTTTATTTTAGCACCTCAAGAATACTTTATTTGTACTTTACTTCGTCAATACCCTATTGGTATGGATGGCACAAGACTGCAAATTAAGAACAAAAAGATTACAAATAAGATAGCAGGTGGAGGCTTTCCATTTTACCCCCAGCACATTGGAGTCAGACAGAGACCACAAAAGAATGGCCCGAGAATCTGGGCTCCGCGATGTCTGGCCTCTAAAAAGAGCACACTGGAACCCGATCAGGGAAGAAAGAGGAGATGACCCAATCAGGCAGTCACACTTCTTTAGCAGTCAGTCCCAGAGGAAAAATGATTGGTTGGGCCAACCCCAGGTCTCTCTAGAAGGAATCAAAACCCCTTGAGCAGGAAAAAGAATCAGTGGCATTTATCAAGAGGAGGGAAAAAAAAAAAGACTTCACAGCTGCTCAAAGAGTTGGAAAAGCATATACCAGTGAGCTCACCTAGGCATGCAGAATTCTCTTGCACAAGAAAAGCCCTTATTTGTTGAGCAGTTTCCCCAGGCACTAAGAAAGGAACAAGACCCTGGGTGCAAGAGACCTTCCACCCAGTTCCTGGCTCCCAGGGCTTCTTTATACTTTGGGGAAAGGAAGGAACTCCTAGCAGCCCAGATTGGACTGTACCTCACCTGGGAAGAGGAGAAAAGTTATCAGGGACAGTCTGTGCTACAGTATTTACACAGAGTAGGAACAATATTTAACCACACTGCAATCTCTCAAATAAAACAGTCTATGTACCTGCAGCACACCTATATCTGACTATTTAATCCCTCAACACCTGCCCCTTCTGTGTGCAGAGGGAGATCCTGGCACACACTTACCTGTAGTACGCCAGGCTGCAGCCCCTTCCCTGCCTCCTTCAGAACCTTCTGCTGGGGTTCTGGCTGCACTGCTCCCCACACCTCTTCATTTATGAACTCCCCACCTGAATCCCCACCAAGTCCTAGTCAATCTCTTCCTGGCCCTAGCCAAGCTAGCAATGTATCTGACCAGGAAGGAGGACCTCTGGGGGCTGTGGGGCTGCTTTCCTGTCCCTTGTTGGTTCATGGCTCCAAGCAGTTTCACTGGGCAGTGTCCACTGGCTCCTTGGACTGATTCAAGGTCCAGTGGGCACTGTCCAGTGTGCTCTGTTCTGTGTCTCCCCTTGCAACGCTTGTTTTGAGCCGAGCCCTCACACCCGTCCCTGTTTTGTTTTGTTTTTGTTTTGTGGTGTTGTTGCAAGCAATCAGTGATATGCCCTTAGCCGCTTCCATCACCGTGGGGGTGGGCATATAGCTCTACTCGCTGGCTTTGGCTCACTGTCCTGAATGGTATATCAAAATTCTTTCTGGCTGGGAAGAATCCCAGGGACTGTGAGGCCGCTTTTCCACCCCTTGTCCATTTGTGTCTCCAGGCAGAGGTTCCCTGGGCAGTGTTCATAGATTGTAAGGGGCTGGAAGGGACCTAGGAAGATAATCAGGTCCAGCCCCCTGCACCAAGCAGGAAACATAAATGGGGGTCAGGTGACCCCAGCAAGGTGACTGTCTAGTCTCCACTTGAAGATTTCCAGGGGAGCTGATTGCACCACCTCTGGAGGGAGCTTATTCCACAGTCTGGACACCCTGACTGTGAAGAAGTTTTTCCTAATGTTGAGCCTGAATCAATCTTCCAGGAGTTTGAGGCCATTACTCCTGGTTTTCCCCTCAGGTTCCCTAATGAACAGTTGCTCACTGAGCACTTGATGTACTACCCTAGTGTAGCAGTAAGCTGCTACCAGGTCCCCTTTCAGTCTTCCTTTCCTCACGAGGAAGAGTCCCAAATCCCTCAGACTTTCCTTCAGTCTTTTAAGGCTCTGATCATATGGGTGGCTCTTCTTTGGACTCTCTCAAGCTTGTCCACATCCTCATTAAAGAGCAGTGCCCAGAACTGGATGCAGTACTCCGGCTGTGGTCTCACCAGTGCTGAGTAGAGCGGAAGAATCACCTCCTTGGTTTTGCTGGAGATGCATCAATTGACGCATGCCAGAGTATTATTTGCCCTACTGGCTACAGTGCCGCATTGATGGCTCACCTTCATATTGTGATCTATTATTACCTCCAGGTCCCTTTCATTTGTGGTGCTAGTCAGTTTGGTGTCGCCAAGCCTGTAGGTGTGTTGGGGGCTGCTCATTCCGAGGTGGAGCTCTTTACGTTTCTCAACATTGAACTTCATCAGGTTCTGATCTGCCCAACTTGCAAGCCTGCCTAGATCCGCCTGTATCTGTAGCCTGTCTTCAAGCATGATCACGCCTTCCCATAACTTGATGTCGTCCATGAACTTGGCCAGTGAGCTCTTCACCCCCACATCCAAATCGTTAATAAAGATGTTGAAAAGTACTGGACCAGGCACAACCCCTGCAGGACACTGGCTCTCTGGACCTGTTTGAGGGCCAATGGGCAGTGTTTGGTGTGCACTGCTCAGTGTCCATCCTTGATGCACTTTTTTAACCTTCACTCCCATCCCCCCTCTTTTGTCTTTCATTTGTCCCACAAGATCAGTTGACATACATACAAGGCCCCTGCTATTTAACAGGTGTGTGTGAGGTGGCTAGCTGTTCCTCTGTGGGTCTAAGGCCCACGTCCCTGATACTCATCAAGCAGGCCTGATCATTTCATTGACTGTGCACAAAACCCCTTGAAAGCCACCAGCTGTTGCCAGCCTTTGACCTCAGGCAAAGCACTCCACTGGATTACCCCCTGCCATTACTCCTAGGGCAGTTCCCCCAACCTTGACCAGATCCCAGTAGATCTTTACAGGCAGAACACAGTTCTGCATATCACTCCATACTGCACTTTGTGGCTTTCAGTGCTTAAATGCAGGGGCCTTCTTGGTCCTGCACAGGTCCAAGGAGCGACTAGCCAACTCTCTCTCCCATGATGGTAATGAAGCATTCAGACAAGGAGCTCTCTATGGGTCAAGAGATGAGCGGTACAATTCAGACTTGCACTGGTTTGTCTCATGGTGAACCCCTGCCTTTACAGACAGACAAGCCTGTGGGCCCACATAAAGATAGCTAGACTGCAGTACTAGAGAAGGACCTAGGGGTTTCTTCAAACCTTAAGATGAATATGAACAAACAGCGTGCTCTTATTGTGAAAAAAACCCAACAGCATACTGGGTTGTATCAAATAGAATGAGACTTGCAAACCAAGGGAAATCATTCTTCCCTTTAACTGCTTTTCCCTTTATTTGGCACTGGTGAGACCACACCTCGACTGTCCAGTTCTGGGCCGCACACTTCAAGAAAGATGGGGGCAGATTAGAAAGACTGAGCAAGACTCTGGGGAAAGGCTGTAGAAAGCAAGTTATTTAGTCTCGAAGACAGACTACTGAGTGGGGATTTGATAACAGACTTCAAATACCTGAAGATCAATTCTAGACAGGCCAAAGATGGGCTTTTCCCTGTGGCCACTTGGCTGGGAGTAGAAGCAATGGCCTGAAGCTGCAGCAGAGGAAATTTAGGTTGATGATCAGGAAGAACTTTCTGACTATGAAGGTGGCCAGGTGGTGGAGCAGGACTTTTAACACATCAAGGGAAGTCAAGGGCCAGGCCCGCTACAGAAACTATAAGCCCCCTTTAGTACTGGGGGCCACTAGTGGTATGTTACAAATTTCTTTGGACATATAATAATGAAGTCACGGAGGACTGGAGCTCAAAGGTTCAAAACAAGAGTGCCAAGTGGGGACACTGAGCAGAGCACACCAGTGAGCACCTACCGACCCTCAAATGAACCCAAGGAGCCAGCGGACACTGCCCAGCAATACTCTGTTCGGAGACCGGAATGAAGTAGGGCAAAGAAAGTGCCCCGCAGTCCCCGGGAACCCTCCTGGCCACAGCCTCCTTCCTGGTCAGCCCAGCTTGGCCAGGGCCAGGAGGTTGACCAGGAGGTCCTGGCCCTGGTGGGACCACAGACAAACAAATTTAATGCACCTGAACTCAACGTGCACTGGAATAGGCTGCCTAGAGAGAAGCTGTTGGATCTCCACCACTGGAAGTTTTCAAGAGTGGGTCGGACAGGCACTAGGCTGGGATGGGTTCCTCAGGGACCATCCTGCCTAGATCACCTTGTGAGGTCCCTTCCAGCCCTGCTTCCCTGTGCCCTCCCACCGAGGTAGCCCGCACAAGTGCCCCCTGCCTTCAGCCTGTACTTTTTATGGGTGAGCTAAGATAGGCTTCCGGGGACCTCAAGCAGCCCCACGGGGAAGGCGGGGCTTTGCCGCGGGGGGAACCGCCCT